AAAAAAAAAAAAAAAAAAAAAAAAAAAAAAACCCATAAATTTATTGGACATCTTTTCATTTTCCCATAAATTTAAATTATTTTTTTATATTGGTTATTTCTTTGAATATTTAGCTTTACCTCCAAGTTACGTCGTCGGCAAGTAACCAGTCACCGTCGATATCCTGGTAAGTGAGTCTTTGACCGTCGGGGTCCATCTCGTCTGTTTCCAAATAACCCAAAATCAGTACACGAACTTACACCCATCCGGAATTCACTATTCTGAATAGGAATAAGAAAACAATCTTACCAAACATCTTCATCAAAGTGGCTCTAAGTTCGTCAAAACAATGGTATTGGCTTAAATCAACCTTCCTACCAATCCCAACTCCCTCCATCTTCACCTTCACGTACCTCGAATTCGAATTCCAATTCAACCCGCCGCCATTCACCGCCGGCCGTCCCCGACCTCTGCGCTTCTGCATCAAAGACCTCGTCTTCCTCTTCTTAAGCGGCGGCCACCCCACAAGCCTATTATCCTCTTCCTCTTCCTCCTCGTCTCTGTCAAGTAAACCAAAGAAATTCAGCCTCAAGAAATCAACCAAAATCCGAAATGTAAAAGAGGAAAGTGAGCGTACGAATCATTCGAGGCGGAATGGGGATCGTTGTCATCGTCATCGCCATTATTGGGATGGTCGTTCCAGAGAAGCAGAGGAAGTGTTCGACGAAATGCCAAAGAGGGGTCGACATGGAGAGGGCGCTTCTTGCGAATGGTGGAGTTCAAATCGAGACAAGAGGCGGTGTCGTGAAGGAGAAGGGAGTTGTTAAGGTCGAAGGGCTTAGCGGGGATTAGAGAGAGGCCTAATTGAAGCTCCATAGGGATAGGGGGAAGAAAATCCGAACAGGAAAAGAACAAAGATTGGATGAATATTAAAAAAAAATGGATGGGATTGAAGAGCAAGTGTGGGGTTGTTGGTGGCGAGGGCGAGGGCGTGGGCGGGGGTTAAAAGAGGCGGGGAGTGCGTGCGGGTGTGGGACAAAGGTGGGGACAATGTGTTGGGGAGAGAGGCCAAAAACGTCTAAGACGTCCGTATCAATGCTCTGCCTTTGGCCGACCCAGTTGCCCTGCTGTCCCTTTTTTTTCACCCACATTGTTTTCTGTACCTCCAACACTCTCTTTTCCCTTTAATCCACTCCCACTCGCCAACCTTATCCACTTCCTTCCTCTTTTTTTTTCGAAATATAAATTTTAAATAGAGACAAAATAAAGAAGCTTGAACGTTTAGAGATTAAAAAAAAGTTAATTTAATCTAAAAAAAAAAAAATAGTTTTTCATCATTCTATAAAAATAAAAAAAATATATAGAAAAAGGAAAGGAACGAGTCTCGACGGTGGAGACACGCTCCCGTGTGCGCGTGAGAGATGTGGTTTTGGTTGCGGTGGGCAGATTTTAATTCTCTGCGTCCTATGCCTTCGGGGCGGGTACAAACATAGTCAAAATCCCAGTAATTGGGGGGTCCATCTCCAGTAAAAAATCATTTTTATAATTTTGACCATTATTTTTCTACATAAACAATATTACAAAATATTATTTTAGTTCCTATTAGCATAGTTAATTATTTTTCTAAAAAAAGAAAATTAATCTATATTAACCTTTTTATTTAAAAATTAAAAAAAAATATATTCATATTATTCTTCTGTTTACTAATTAAAAAAAGAAAGGCAATAACTAATGACTAAAATATAATCAAACGTAAAATAATATTTTAATCTCTTATTATTTTTATATCATTAGTCTCGATGTTTATCATTGCCATTCTGTTTTTTATTATTTTATTTTGGTTCTTTGCATCTAGATTATGATTTTTTAAAAACGTACTTTGTACCAAATTAATTATCATATGATATATAAACATCATAATACCAATCGGATAAATAAATTTTATTCTTAAAAAAGAGCATTTGACTGCTTTATTAATAATTCCTTTAGATCTGTGGTAGTAAATTAATTAATATTTAAAGGATAAAATATTAACACAAAATTACTGACTATTTTCTATATAATAAAAATAATAAAAGCAACTGAAAAATCGGCCACGTCAGGCTTGTGGGGGGTGAAAAATGGGGACAAAGTGCAACGGTACACATTTAACAGCTGCGGTGATGTCGGTGGATGGAAGAGAGTGGCGAGGGGTCACGTGTCATAAAAAGAGATGAGGTGGCCGTAAATAACGGAGGTACAATGGATTGGATGCTGAAAACATGTTTTTGTGAAAGTCGACTGAGATTGCAGGGCGGTTGGATTGGTCCACGTTGGAATTTGACGGGGGTGAAGCCCATGTGGATTTCGGGTCCAGCCCATTTGAACAGGACCACTGAGCTGGACCTCTTAGCGTTTTATTTTTATTATAAATGTCATTTTCAAGGCGACGAGTCCAAATCAGTGGTAAGTAACCCTTATTGGAGCGGTGGTTGCGCTTAGTTTACGCCCTTTTGTCTTCAATTCTCCACCACCTTCAAAATCAAGCCTAACTCCTTTTCATTGTCGCTTTTCGCGAATAGTCGGACCCGACTCGGTCTATGGTAAGTAACATGTCTCTTCAGTTGAATATAAATTCATCGTCTTATTAGAATCATTTTAAGTTTGAAAGCTTTATATCTTGAACCGTTGAGTCGTGCATAAATTATATGTTTTAATATTTTGTTTTAGTTATGATTAATATATTAAAAACGTGAAATAATAGATTTGAATAAAGCTTGATCTCTCGGAATCATTCAACTTTAATACAAACAGTGTTTTTTGTCTTTTTGAAAATTTGGTGCAGACAAGATATTTGAGCATAATAATTTCATTTTACTTTGCTGTTTTTTTTTTTTTTAATTCTAAATAAAGAAATAAAAAGGTGGGTGGGCCATAAAAATCCATTCCAGAAGATATTGTAAAGGGTTGGTTTTGAGAAAGTGGAATGAAGAAGAAAGAAGAACGGTAGAGAGGTTAGGTTTAGCACAAAACACAATCAGTTGGGTTAGTGATTGTGAAAGCAAATTCAACTCCCAATTCATTCCTCTAACTTTTACGATCTCGACAGGACAATACTACACCTCATATTTCTCGGAGTATAAGTATAAACGTTGTGAGTTAGAAGCTTACACAGATATGCTTATGTTAGGTGAGGTAAATTTCGAATTACTTACGGGACCCACTTTGAACGGGAAGGGAATTCCCTATTTAGATAGGGAATGGGGGAGGGAGCGGTAAACATTTTTTCTCGTTAAATAAATGAGATTGGGGACAAGATTATATTTCAAGTCCCCGCCACACCTCGTTTAATATATATTATATGATTTTTTTAATAAAGATTATATTAAAAAATGAAAACTTTCCAACTCTATCCCTACAAAATTTTCGTGGAGAATCTCCGCCTCTATTCCCACAAGAAATAAATGAAAATTTTGGTAAACATGAAGAA